ATTAGTCTACCTGGATTTCTTGTGAATCAGCCCTAGGAGTGATTTTTGCGCCTCTTACATAATCGGGATTTTATGGAAGACCTAGAACTTCATTAGTCATAACCCGTGCGCCCCAAGACCAGTGACTGCACGAGTCTTTTCGAACTTGGTAGGATGCTTCGTATTCTGCCTAGTCAACCTACCATTTGAATAGCGATTATTGGAATGTCACAACCGTACATACCCTCGTGGGAGTAACAAACCGGCTGAAAATCAACCCCGAATAAGCTTCAGAGAGGCTCAGTAACTTCTGTGCCATCTGGCTAGCTCATCTGTAATCGGCGATCGCCTACTCAGAACGCTGCAGGCCCAGTTAAGAGAACAAGAAGTTTGCCTCACTGTGAATATATTCTCAAAATTCTGCGGAAGTCGTGGCCTGAAACATGCCCAGTGATGACTGGAACGTAGTCACAACTGGGAGAACAATCACATGCTCGCTCTCTGATAAGCAGGTTATATGGTAACTCTGAAATCAGACATGGACAGCCTGAATTACTGTCAAATCAACCCATTCAAGTGGGCCATAAAACATGCGGCGACTAAGCAGGGAATCTAAGAGGATCGATTTGATCGCTGGCACTGAGGTTGGGTTTGAAGAAACAAACGGAAACAAATGAATGATGAACAAGTTGACACCCTACTTGAATACCGTAAGGTTGTAATCCTTGGACAGTGGGTGAGGATTGCAGACGGTCATGGAAACCCACGTTCGTAATGTGTACTATCCAAAGTAAAGGCATCTGCTTACTTGTGAGGACAGTTAAAGTTAACACACGGATTACCAAAATATGAGTAATATTTGTTCACCTGGGCTATTTATAGCGGCAGGAACGAATCCCATCGAAGCGAAAGGGCAATATATGCGAGAGGACAGTCCTACTTTATGGATGTCAGCCTTTGTTCTAGTGTCCTATCTGAAAGCCTTGATGACCGGTACCATTACTGTAGCAGGAATCTGCGGGCTACAGAATGTCCACAACGAAGTGGTGTGGAGCAGAAAAAAATCGTTCAGCTGTGACACCCTTTCGGTGTCTAATTGCCATGCTACTCGCAGGAAGCACGAAGGCTGGGATACTGTCAAGCCTTCATAGTGGAAGTCGATAGGCAAAGGTCGGGTTCGAACCATGGACCTTCGGGTCATTAATTCGCGCTCTAACCACTTGAGTCATGTCGTCGAGAGAGGTGAAAACTGTAGACGGCGCTAGAGAACGGGCTCTCCTTACGAAACGAAACATCTCTAGATATCGACACAGGACTGGTGTCGCCGGGGAGGTTGGTTAAATTTGGTGTAGCGGTTGCTACGGATCGACTACAAGCGGTCAGTGTATGGAGATGGTCACTGCACCGGTTCTACCCTAGTAAGGACGAGGAATTTAGGTGTATCCAATTTCGACAGCCGAAAGGACTAACTGAATGCAAGCGGGTTTGACAAATGTACAGGGCGAATCAAGTGGTTCGAATTACATCGTTCTGGACTACATCTTCAGTATTAATCATCATCATCATTACTGTCGGCTGTAATAACCGCACACTCGTCGTACAGTGGTTGTAGCTGCCGCAGTTTCGTTCACCGATGATTGGGGGGAGGAGGTAGGTAGCTGCGCATTGCAGGCGCGAGCTGGTAAGTTGGTGCATAAATCCAGCACTGCCAGTGGGCTGTCAAGTAAAGGGGGGTTGAAAAAAGAGCTATGCATTGAAGGCAACAGCTTGGATGAACCAGCGCCATTGAGGACGCGACTGGACTATGTCTGACAATGTCTCTAACCAGTGATGTGAACCGTCTCGGGGTCCCCGTCCAGGAAGACAGTAATGGCCAACGCAGCTGAGTTTGCTGGTAATGGCTTTTATACTTCGTTGCCAAGTCATTGTGTGACCGCCTCTGGTTCTCTTCCACTTCTCACGTGGTTGTGCGAAAAGAGCCTTTCGAGGAAGTCGGTCGACTGGCATACGCAGCACGTGGCCAAGCCAACGCAACCTATGCAGTAAGACCAGCTCTGCAGTATTAGCTTTTAAGTATTAGCTAAGTATTAGCCTTAAGTATCAGCTTGTACGTGTATCGTACGAGAAGGCTACATGTGACCACTGAGTACGTCCAAAGCGAACGATTGCCTTTCAGGTCCCGATAGGTAATTTATGATGAATTTTTAACATGCGCCAGTTTAGCAAAAAAGATGCCTGAGACGTTGCGCCGACGCAACTCCTATGACAGAAAAAAGGTTCAAATAACCCCGATTATGGTGTTCTCTGTAAAAACGTCACGAGGTCATTATTCGAAGGAAGTTTAAACACCAGACAAACCTGATTATCCACATGACTACTAGAACTTGCAGTTTCTTCGGATTTCATTCCATGCTGGTACATGTATCGATAGAAACCACCCAATCCTTGCTGCTTCGTAATATCCATGTAGTCCTCGCGGATCTGTTCTTCTTCTCGCTTTGAGACTAGCTCCCGAAGCTGCTTCAGTTTCTCCTACAAAAAAGAGGCAGTTAAAGGGGGATAACATAGACGATACCTTGTAAGCCGAAGTGACAAATGCCTCCTTGTCACCATACTGTTCAGCATCAGCCTCAATCTCTTTCTGAGCCTTTCTTTCGAGGCATAGCTCACGTTCTAACTTTCGTTCTTCCGCCGTCTTCAATAATCGACCAACGTATTTAGACTAACGAAGTGAGAAGTTCAAGATGGGAATGCATTAGGTATTTACCTCCTTTTTCGATCCTCCCAAAATGTCGCTCACCTGACGATCTTTCTCACTACGTATATCGTCGTAGATCTCATCATACTGGAACACCGAAGGGTCTTCTTCTATTGCCTTCTCATAATCGGATTTCGTCTGCACAGTAAATTTGAGGGAGGAAGAAAGCGAAAACCAACCTTTCTGTGGAGCTTCGCATGGCTCGACTGTGTACTGGACTGAACTTTCAGTGGTTTCTGGTATCAACTAAGTGTTGAGGGGTATTAAAACTGACCAGCTGTGCAGCATCCGCCTCTTCGTCTGACTCAGCAGCAAATACCGATTCGACAAGTGTTTTCGGTTTCTCTTTCGCGGTCCTGGTTGGGAAACTTAGGCCATAAACCTTCTGCTCTGGTTTACCAATCATCTAAAAGGCGAAAGCACAGTCTGATAAGGGGGAGAAGTTAGTGGTAATGTGAGGAAAGTTGAGAAGTCGTAATGGAGATTAAGCCTTGTAAGTGGGGCAGATATATTGAAAGACCAATGACCAGATTTCCCCAGAGAGAACCCTGTCGAACTGGAACATACAGACAACCTTGTTTTTTCTTTTGAAAAAGAGCACAAGGTGCAAGCACTTGTAAAGAAGCTGGTCAAGGTCACTCAGATCTTCGGCATGTGAGTCGTGCAAGGCTATGCTACAGAACAGTCTTTGAACGTAATTCCAAGTATTCAAAGAGTGATACTGGAAGCCGTGGGACAATGAAGTTGCACTGGCTCTGACGATGACAGATGAGGTATAACGCGCGAATTGCTTTTTTTCAATTGGCACCACTCATGGAGTTAAAAATACAGTTCTGGATCTTAAAGGACGCGTATATCAGACTACAGTGGAGGTTGCATTGTTGTGGGGCTATGAGATTAGGTCATTTCAGGCGGAGGATATGAGATATCCGAAGTTTGACCACTAACTTTTCAGGACTACAAACCAAATCTGTTGGAATTAGCGAAGTCGCAATCAGATGATCAAAAGACGGTTTTTTGGTGGAGTAGACGATACTTCCACCAAAGAAAACATCAAACATTTCAAGCTGAGGTGGCTCAGTCATGTGTTACGTATGCTGAGTTACCGTCTGCGAAGATGAGCGCTATGTTCCGTGCCTAATTAGGAGTGGCGGAAACCTAGAAGTCAGTAGTTTGACATGAAAGAGGGAAATGAGGGATGCTATGAAAAGTTTGGGATGTCTACGTGCCCTTCCTTGTGCTTGCCTGGTGACGGCGGGCGAGATGGCTCAGTGGTTAGAGCGCGAACTTACTGACCGCACAATCCGTGGTTCGAATCTGACCTCTGGCTCTCAAATTCCCCTGTCTAGGCTTGGGCAACCTAATAGTACCCCAGCCTTCATGCACTCTTTGGGTGGCATGGCAGTTAAGCACCGAAAAAGTGATACTGCTGAACGACTGTCAAGTGGCACTAAGATATGACGGCCAACCAATGTCAGTGGCGTTCATGCTGTCAGTTTCTATCCAGATTGTCTGACTGAGTGCTAAGGATGTAGGCTAGCCCTAGATCCTCCTCCCTGTTCATTTCCTTCCAACCAATTATAAGGTATTATTCATTGACATACGTGTACGGCAGTGAGGCAACAATGTTTTCATTTGGGTGTTGTGGTCAGTTTTAATGATGATAGGAGTGCCTACAGTATAGTATTTGCCATTATTAACAGTATTAGATCAGAACACTCGCCACAACAATACCTTCAGTGAGGAAAGTTGAGAAGTCGTAATGGAGATTAAGCCTTGTAAGTGGGGCAGATATATTGAAAGACCAATGACCAGATTTCCCCAGAGAGAACCCTGTCGAACTGGAACATACAGACAACCTTGTTTTTTCTTTTGAAAAAGAGCACAAGGTGCAAGCACTTGTAAAGAAGCTGGTCAAGGTCACTCAGATCTTCGGCATGTGAGTCGTGCAAGGCTATGCTACAGAACAGTCTTTGAACGTAATTCCAAGTATTCAAAGAGTGATACTGGAAGCCGTGGGACAATGAAGTTGCACTGGCTCTGACGATGACAGATGAGGTATAACGCGCGAATTGCTTTTTTTCAATTGGCACCACTCATGGAGTTAAAAATACAGTTCTGGATCTTAAAGGACGCGTATATCAGACTACAGTGGAGGTTGCATTGTTGTGGGGCTATGAGATTAGGTCATTTCAGGCGGAGGATATGAGATATCCGAAGTTTGACCACTAACTTTTCAGGACTACAAACCAAATCTGTTGGAATTAGCGAAGTCGCAATCAGATGATCAAAAGACGGTTTTTTGGTGGAGTAGACGATACTTCCACCAAAGAAAACATCAAACATTTCAAGCTGAGGTGGCTCAGTCATGTGTTACGTATGCTGAGTTACCGTCTGCGAAGATGAGCGGTATGTTCCGTGCCTAATTAGGAGTGGCGGAAACCTAGAAGTCAGCAGTTTGACATGAAAGAGGGAAATGAGGGATGCTATGAAAAGTTTGGGATGTCTACGTGCCCTTCCTTGTGCTTGCCTGGTGACGGCGGGCGAGATGGCTCAGTGGTTAGAGCGCGAACTTACTGACCGCACAATCCGTGGTTCGAATCTGACCTCTGGCTCTCAAATTCCCCTGTCTAGGCTTGGGCAACCTAATAGTACCCCAGCCTTCATGCACTCTTTGGGTGGCATGGCAGTTAAGCACCGAAAAAGTGATACTGCTGAACGACTGTCAAGTGGCACTAAGATATGACGGCCAACCAATGTCAGTGGCGTTCATGCTGTCAGTTTCTATCCAGATTGTCTGACTGAGTGCTAAGGATGTAGGCTAGCCCTAGATCCTCCTCCCTGTTCATTTCCTTCCAACCAATTATAAGGTATTATTCATTGACATACGTGTACGGCAGTGAGGCAACAATGTTTTCATTTGGGTGTTGTGGTCAGTTTTAATGATGATAGGAGTGCCTACAGTATAGTATTTGCCATTATTAACAGTATTAGATCAGAACACTCGCCACAACAATACCTTCAAAGCATCTTGAAGACTGTCTCCGAGAGTATCAGGGTCCCAGTCTGTTGGGGGCCAAGCGGATACAATGAACAGGCAGTGATTATTAGGACGCTCGTGATACTCCCACAGATTTCACCAAATGGACTACAAAGTACCAACGGGCAGCCACTCAGCTCAATTGCTCAGAATACCAATCCCATCAGAACCATCAACAGCGGCCTCCGGATCACCACGATTACATAACCAGGAGAGCGGAAATCGATAGGGAAGTCAGTTCAACAACTGCACACGGGTCTTGAGTCCTCGTTTCGGACAGGAAGACAACATTACTAGGAAGAAAGTTCAGTGTCTATTTGCCCACTTGTTTCAGAGAGCAAACGTTAAAGAAGTCAGGGTAACTGAGTGACGAGTTCTGAATGACAATTTCGATATGTCTGTGGCCATAGTGACCAAGTCAACTGTAGATATTGCAGCTAACGACAATCGTCCTAGCATGAATTCACATCACAGTTAGAAGAGATTCCAAAATAGGATTACAGTAAATTCGTCTAACATCAGGATCTGCCAGTCCCTCAATTGTTAAATGACTTTTCTGTATCTTAAATGGACATGGGAAACGAGGGTCGAGCGCATGTCGGAATCCAAAAATATGTCCAAAAACGAGAGACAGCCAGTCAATGATCCACTTCATTGGTAACTGATGGCAATGCGATCAGTTTGAGTTCGTAGCCGCTAGGTTGTTGGAGGACACCATCTGGCCATACGACTTTGGTTATTTCGAAAGTTAGTACTGAATAAAACAGCCTGAGGTCACCGCATGGCTAAAGTAATCGTTCGCCATTACCCAAACGTGCCGAGTCCGATTTATTTCGACCACCTAATCCAGTTTCAGATGCGTTGAGCCTCTTCAATTTTGTATTTAGGTCTCAGACAACCATAGAGGTATCTGAGCTTCTAGCTCGCTGCAACAGTGCATTTAAGTCGCCAGTGGGCGCTATTGGAAGCGACTGGTGTGTGATAGAGCGATTAGCTCAACAAATGTGCTTGCATTTCGAATTCTTGTTTCTGATACACAGCAAACACCAGTGTCAAGCGAATCTAATGTGAGAGCAAGAGCAGCTTGTTGTTCTGCATGCTTCGGAGTGCGAACCAAAGCCGTTGGCTCAAAAGCTTGACCGCAAAACAGCGGTGTTTGGCGGGAGATGCGGATGCATTGCTGTTTTCTCACAGGACAAGTCGCCAGGAAACTGTGTCCGTCAGACCTCTAACCATTGATAAACCTTATGCGAAAGACTCTACGAGTGTCGCGCGGACACCCCCAGTATAGTTTAATGGGTTTCGGAGGCATACAAACCGTCATAAAACTGTCTCTTCATCTCTTCGTGACAAGGCGCTCAGCCGCTTCTGTGTGGTTTATCTGGCAACGTCTCTGGAGGAGTCTCACAAGCGGAAAGTTTACCGATGTCTGTTTGTCATGTAAGCTTGAACCCCCAACTGACTGTAGCTGTAGTACCATCAAAGACAAACTTTGACGTTCTGAATGCCCTGTGGCGGCGAGCTAATAGCTAAGATGAAGTGAGGTTGCCGGAGATCCGAATACACAAGTTGGCAGGCTTAGCACACCTGAGACTAGATTACCTGGTCGATATGTATTGTACTTGACGTTGACGAACAACGGTGAACGATCCCTTCAGCTGTGTTCTGATTGCAGGCTGTTTTCATGCAGTACTTACTTCCGAAATAACTGAAGTCTTCAGGTCACACGTTGTCCTCCAACGGCTTATAGGCTACAAACTCAAATTGGTCGAATTGCCATCAGTTACCACGGCGCGAACCAATAACCAACTGCCACTCGCTTTGCAATGATTTTGTGGATTCCGACCACGCACCCGTCCAGAGTCCATTCTTCCTTCGTTTTCCAGGGCCGCATAAGGTGCGGTCAAATCGCTTAGCAACTGAGTGACTGGTAGATCCGGATGTTACAAAAACTTAAAAGAATCATCTTTAGGAGTCACTTCCAACTGTTCCACCATCAAATGTGAATCGTTTTCCAGGCATAAGGTGCGGTCAAATCGCTTAGCAACTGAGTGACTGGTAGATCCGGATGTTACAAAAACTTAAAAGAATCATCTTTCTTTATCACTTCCAACTGTTCCACCATCAAATGTGAATTCATACTGGGACGGTGATCGCTACCTCCGCACAGTGCCAAGAGTTTTGGCCGTGGCATGGCACTACTACTACTACTACTACTACTACTACTACTACTACTACTACTACTACTACTACTAGGCCCACTCAAGCACTGGATATCTGACCGAACGGTGGTGCTGCCTAAGTGTCGGAGAACTATTTTTCTCCGGTCCCGAACATAACCTGACCCAATGAATTATCAGACGTCG